CTCACTCACTCACTCTCACTCACCCTCACTCACTCTCACTCACCCTCACTCACCCTCACTCACTCTCACTCACTCTCACTCACTCTGACTCACGCTCACTCACACTCACTCACTCTCACTCACTCTCACTCACGCTCACTCACTCTGACTCACTCTCACTCACTCTGACTCACACTCACTCTCACTCACTCACACTCATTCACACTCACTGACACTCACTCACACTCACACTGACTCACACGGACCCACACTAACTCAGACTCGCTCACACTCACTCAACCTGACTCACGCTCGCTCAGACTCACTCACACCCACTCACACTCACTCACGCTCACTCACATTCTCTCACACTCATTCACTCTCACTCTCACACTCACTCTCACATTCTCACGCTCACTCTCACACTCACTCTCACACGCGGTCTCACACGCACTCTCACACTCACTCACACACTCACTCACACATTCTCTCACCCACTCACTCGCTCACTCAGTCGATGTAGACGTTGAGCCAGATTGCTCCGATCTTAAGCCAAGGGCGACCAACATCCATCAGTCCGTATACTGCCGGGAAATGGTCGTAGAAAAATGCTGGCTTTGGTAGAGGACTGCCGACACCGATCTTTTTCTTTTTGAGAAGGATAACGACCACCAGAAGACCAAATCCACTCCCACTCCCCCAAAAAATCACGGACGCCGAACAAATCGCCCCACTAGCGACGCCCCCACCATTCCAAATCAACAAGTGATTCGGTCGCGTTAGCCGGTCGTGTTTCTTCCGCTGCAAGGTGATGCCGAAGAGACGTGCCAAGAGTGTCGGTCCGCTGGGCTTCTTTCTGTTGCTCGGTGAACCGGACAGGGCTTTCGGAGAAGAACCATCAAAACACGCGTCCTGACTTTTCCTGCAGGATTTTCCAATGAATGGGGAACATGAAGCTTAAGTTACTGAAGCTTCCACCTCTTCGATTTTCGCGGAGAAGAACCTCCGACAAAAAGGTTGCGCAATGTTGTACAGGTTATACTACCCACAGAAAATCCTGGGTAGGGAACTTGTTCGGACCGCAAAACCTGCGCCTCCGTTCGCCTCCTGCGCTGCGACTGACAAAAACGGCGCCCAGCCATGTCGACGCCGCCGTGTTGACTTGCTGATAGGTCTCCACGGTCAACCGGTCGTGGACGTCCCATAGGACCTATAGGAGGTACCTAACGGAAACTGATCGGAATCGCAAATGTTTCACTCGGATGTGACCGTGACCTTAAATCTAGGGATTTGACCTCTGACTGGCAGGAGTTTGGTGGGAGGGGGTGTCTACCCCAAACATCTGTTTAGAAAAGAATAGAACAGTGGCGATGTTGCCTAAATTGAGCGCCGGAAAACACCAAGACCTACTACGAAACGCCACGCGACAGTGATTCTTTGGGCGAGTGTGACTCAGTCCCTAAAGATGCAGGACCCACCCCTAGGCTTCAAAGAGAGTATCGCAGAATTATGGATCTGGTTGTCGTCTAAAATCCGTAAAGCAGTTGGGTCAGTTTTGCAAAGACCATGATAAACAATAGAAAGAAAGACAAAAGAAAGAGAGAAAGAAAGAGTCAGAGAGAGAGACAGAGAGAGAGAGAGAGAGAGAGAAAGAGAGAGAGAGAGAGAGAGCGAGAGAGAGAGAGAGAGAGACAGAGAGAAACAAAGAACGAAGCAAAGAAAGAAACAAAGAAAGACACAAAGAAAGAAGGAAAGACAGAAAGACACAAAGAAAGAAAGAAAGAACAAGAGAAAGAGAGAAAAAGAGAAAATGAAAGAAAGAAAAGACAATAACAGACAAGAAACGAAAAGGAAATGACAAAAAGAAAAGACAAGAAAAGAAACAAAGAAAGAACTAAAGAAAGACAGCAAGGAAAAAATGAACGAATAAAGAAAGAACAACATAAGGAAAGACAGAAATACAGAAAGGCAGAAAGACAGAAAGACAGACATAAAACATATATAAATAGATATAAAACAATAAATACAGAAAGACGGCACGGAAACCGTACTGCCGCGATAGCCTCTTCCAGGTTGTTCGCTAGCCTTGTTTGTCACATTTCTTCTCCTTGGACTCCCTAGCCTATCAGTGTGGTGTATCCTCAGCATGCAGAAGGGCCGACCGCCGCTTGCATGCAGGAGAATGACACGGAGGGCCGCTTCACGATCGATGCTCGCGACCGTCTCAAGAAAGCCTTTGCCTTAGCAGCTGTCCACTGAATCTTGACGCTTCAGTCCCCCAAAGCCTTCACGGGGGAGCGCGCACCTGGCCAGAATCTTTTCTTGGCCAACACTACGTAGTGACCGTGGAGTAGACGTCTCTAGTGTTCTTGTTCCAGACTGCTTCCAGCACTGGTCTTCTGCCCGCGCTATGTTTCCGCTCCATGTCGGACTTCCCTAATGTTGGATGCTGATTAGTAAATGGGCCCTCTATAATGCTAAGTTTTTCCAAAATTATTCCAGACCCCATGATTGAAAAATGGTTCCTGAATAATGCTAACTTTTTTGGGGGGCCCTAAATTTTTTATATTGGAAACCTATTTAATAAGGGTTTGAATTCCTTCTGAGGCCAATGATTATGATTCATTAGCTGATATAGCTTTCTCTAGG